AAAGTTTGACATCGGCCCCTTATGCTTCCACCAATGGCCCTTTTCCGGCAACGAAATCGTCCTCACCAGCTCCTTTCCCAGTAGCGGAGGGTCTTTTTCGTGCAAAAAAAATTATTTGAAAACGTATTGCAAAACAGACCATAAAACCCAAACAAACCTCTTTAATAGTTAAGTGCTTATTTGTGAACAACAAGTAGTAGACGGCATAGCCAGGTATGACTATCATGGAACAAGATGACAAGAAGAATCCAAAGACGTTTGCCCATAAGGGATAATCTTCACCGGTCGGATACTTGAGAGGACGGTAATAAATGACGCAGAAGAAGAACAGTATCTGCAAAGACAGATAGATTTAGGAAAAGAGACGATTAAAAGGACTTCAAAACGTAACAAGATGAGAAAAGGTAAAACAGCCGTTAACGAAAAATTTAGAAGGACCCGAAAAAGAGAATTACCTACCGCACTTGTAGCAGGTGCGGCATATTTCCATATTATTATCCAAGGATAGCTGAGTTTTATACCAACCATTTCCTTAAGAGCGGCTCGTATTCTTTCAGCACCTGAATATCGAATTCGCTGAAATCTGGCTCGTCGGTTATGTCATTTCAAATGGCGCCCATGGTTCGAGAACCACATCCCGGACCGAACCTCGAAAAAGCCAGGTCGAATGATTGGTGATGAAATCGCTTGGAAGGATAAGCAGTGATCTGCATATCATCTGATATTGAAAAGTGCCCCAGACCACGGTTGAATACCAACATGATTTTGAGTGGGACCATGTGCGTGGCACATTCTACAAAGGGATCGATCAACACTGAGTGTCTAACCTCTCACCGTTATCGACACTATTCTTGCCACAAAAGATAAAGCATATCTTCGGAGGGATTCCCCGTTAGCAGGATTCACTTGGTTCAATTTGAATACAAAATTGAATGGAGTTTGATTTGCCAATAAATAGAAAGCAAAGAAAACCCATAAACACGCCAAAAATAAATAAAAAATTTCTCTTGAAGCTATTCTAAGGGCTGTACGAGGCTACACTTAAGAAAGATGGCGCTGGGATCTACCTGCGAACCCAACTTGACAAAATGCTCG